TCAAAAAAAAAAAAAAGAAATGACAAGGCTCACTGATGACTGGAAGTGGGGAAGAAGGAGGAATCTAGGAAGATTGGGTTTTTGAGTAACCAGGTGGATGGTGGAGTCGTGTATGGGAAAGGAACAGATTTGGGCATGAAAAAAGTCAGAAATTGAGGTTTAAACTTGGGTTTGAGATACGTGCCCATGAGACATCTAAGTGGAGTCACCAAGAAGGTAGTTAGAGGTAAAGTCAGATGGGATGGTTGTGCTGAGGATACAAATTTGGGAGTTATTGGCTTATAGATGGTATTTTAAGCCATGGGAATGAATAGATGAGACCAGCTGGGAAGAGATTTCGAGGTCCACAAGGGACGAGTAGCCTGCCAAGGAGACAGAGCTGGGAGGAAAAACCAAGACAGCATGGTGTCTGGAGGCTATGAGGTACAAGTTTCAATGAGGGATGAGGTGGCTGAGTGTCCAGTACTGAGAGCTGCTGAGTGGTGGACTAAGTTGAAGAAAGGAAAGCATCTGCTGGCGTTGGCAACGTGGAGGTTTATTAGGGACCTTGCTGAGAAGTTTTGATGCAATGGTAGGGAAAAGTCATGTTGGAATGTGTGAAGGAGTGAGTGGGATGTGAGGACAGGGACAAAGTGAACATGACTTCTTGAGAAGTTTCCTGTGAAAGGAGCAGAGAAATTATATAATAGCTGGAGAGGAATATAGGGGTCAAAGAAATATTGATTATAGTTAGTTTCTTGAATGTCTACTTAATTTTACTAGCAGGTCCTTATTTGGCATGGAAACACTTTGTTATCAAGTTTTAGACTAATAAGTTAACATCTTATGTTGTCCACATAATGAAACTTCAAATGGGACTGTTTTTTTTTTGTTGTTGTTGTTGTTTTTTGTGAGACAGACTTTCACTCTTGTTACCCGGGCTGGAGTGCAATGGTGCAATCTCGGCTCACCGCAACCTCCGCCTCCTGGGTTCAGGCAATTCTCCTGCCTCAGCCTCCTGAGTAGCTGGGATTACAGGCACGCGCCACCATGCCCAGCTAATTTTTTATAGTTTTAGTAGAGATGGGGTTTCACCATGTTGACCAGGATGGTCTCGATCTCCTGACCTCGTGATCCACCCGCCTCGGCCTCCCAAAGTGCTGGGATTACAGGCTTGAGCCACCACGCCCGGCCAAGGGACTGTTTCTTTCATTATATAGAGGGTGCAAAAAGTCAGGGCCTGCCCCCACAACAGTCTGGCACAGGGAAGAGGGTCCATTTCTTCCTCCCACCCTCCACTTAGGGCCTTGCTGAGGTAGTGTCTATCCCCAGGTGCAGCGCAGGCCCAACCTGCTCCCACCTGGTTCTCTGTAAGATTGAGCCGAGCTGCCAGCTGGGCTCTCTTCTTCCCCACCAGATTGTGCTGTTTTACAAACATTTTCTCCAGCTCTTCCAGCTGCTCCAAGTTAAACATAGTTCGGACTCTCTTTTGCTGTCTCTCTGTGTCCTGCAGGTCCTCTGTTGGGGCCCAGCCTGGGAAGGCCCAGAGTCTTGAGCAATGAGCCAGCTCCAAGCCTAAAGAGCAACCAGCAGGACAGGTTAGTCAGAAGCCCCCTGCGCACCCATCTTTGCAGAGTGAGAAGGCACACCCAGCTCCACTACCTTGCCTTCCCCTTGGCTAGGTAACAGGGCAAGAAGACCGTGAGAAGAGACTGTGCAGAAACAGGAAACAAACAAATGGAAAAGAAGGGACAACGCAATGAGACTGTCTGCCACCACTGCTCTCCAGGCAAGTGGCTTAACTTCTGGCCCCAAATAAGGGTTGCCAAACCTCCCATCTCTTTGCCTTCCTCTCCTTTCCTTGACTGCTTCTGGCAATGCCAAAGGATGGGCAGAGAAAGGAGCCCCCCAGGGGTTCACCCTTTTAATTCAGTGAACAAATATTACACTTTTTGAATGTCTGCTGTGTGTCATGCATGGTTTCAGGACAAAGTAGAAAATCTCTGTCTTTATGGAGCTTACATCTTAGAAGTGAGGTCAGAAGAGATACAAGTCAGAAGAGTGGGTTGAGCTGAGGACACAAATTTGGTAGTCATTGCTGAGCACGGTGGCTCATTCCTGTAATTCCAGCACTTTGGGAGTCCAAAGTGGGCAGATCACTTGAGATCAGAAGTTCTAGACCAGCCTGGCCAACATGGTGAAATCCCGTCTCTACTAAAAATGCAAAAGTCAGGCGGGCATGGTGGTGCACACCTATAATCCCAGCTACTTGGGAGGCTGAGGCAGGAAAATCGCTTGAACCCAGGAAGCAGAGGTTGTAGTCAGCCAAGATCGAGCCCGCTCCACTCTAATCTGAGTGACAGAGCGAGACTGTCTCAATTAAAAAAAAAATTGGGAGTCATCAGCTTATATAGATGGTATTTTAAGCCATGGGAATAGATGAGACCAAGCTGTGGGCCGGTGGAGATACATCAACCAGGAGCAGTTCCTAAGTCAAATCTTGATGGAGATGAGGGAGTGAGCCATTGGGCTATCTGGGAGGAGAGTATTCTAGGCAGAAGAATGGCAAATGCAATGCTAACACTACTCAGCCCCCACTAGCCTTGAGGAGGCCTCAGGGCTGGCAAACAGACTGCCCCAACGAAGAGAGTGCATCTGGGGTTCTGGCTGCTCAGAACTCCAACCACTGTGCCCACTAAGCTAACCATGTGCCTGCCAAGGTAGACTAAAAGATCAGGAAAGGCCCATCAGACATACAACCTGGTGTACCTAGTCTGCCTTGTTTCAGAATTGGAAGCTGACCTTCGGAGAAGAAAGTAGGCTGTATTATGTGTTCCTTAGGAGCTCTAGTTGAGGCTAGGCATGGTGGCTTATGCCTGTAATCCCAGCACTTTGGGAGGTTGAGGCAGGCAGATCACCTGAGGTCAGGAGTTCAAGACCAGCCTGGCCAACATGGTGAAACTCCATCTCTACTAAAAATACAAAAATTAGCTGGGTGCGGTGGTGGGCACCTGTAATTCCAGCTACTCGAAGGCTGAGGCAGGAGAATCACTTGAACCTGGAAGGTGGAGGTTGCAGTGAGCCAAGATCGTGCCACTGCACTCCAGCCTGGGTGATAGAGTGGGACTCTGTCTCAAAAACAAACAAAAAAACCCAAGAGCTCTAGTTGCAATCCTAGCTCTGCCACCAATTACCAGCCACAGGACCTTGGGTAAGTCAGTATACTTCTGTGAGCCTTGATTTCCTCATATGTAAAATGGTGATAATAATCCTTACTTACAGAGATGTCATAAGAATTTTAACATGGTGTCGTCTGGGCGCGGTGGCTCACACCTGTAATCCCGGCACTTTGGGAGGCTTAACTGGGAGTTCATCGCTTGAGCCCAGGAGTCGAGACCATCCTGGGCAACATGGCAAAACTCCATCTCTATAAAAACTACAAAAATTGCCGGGCGCGGTGGCTCACGCCTGTAATCCCAGCACTTTGGGAGGCCAAGGCGGGTGGATCGCGAGGTCAAGAGATCGAGACCATCCTGGTCAACACGGTGAAACCCCGTCTCTACTAAAACTACAAAAAATTAG